GACACACAGACACACAGACACACAGACACACAGACACACAGACACACCATTGCTGGTTCAACATAGTGTCGTTTTATTTTGGCAGTCTCTGAAGATGATCTGCTTATCTCCTGAGCAGCTATCTGTTGGCTTGGGTTTTGTGCTCTTCAGCTGTGTAAGATGGAGGTGCCTTTAACTCTGAGCTGAGGCCATCAGATTCAGTGTCTTTGCCAGGCTCATGAAGGCAATCGCCTTTGGTATCGATTGGGTGATATTTATGAAACCTTGCCGTGACAGCGAAGATCAGTGAGATCAGTGCCATGAGTAAAGCAAACACAAAAAATTCCACTGCCTGTTACCAGGAGAAAAGTAAAATAACACGCATTAGTGAATTTTAAGAACAGGGGTTACATGCAACTTGCACAGGATACGAGGCAAATAGACTCCCTCTGAACCGCTCTCACTGATTCTATCCACAAAAACAGAAGTTGCCGGAAAAACTCCACATGTCTGGCAGCATCTGTGAAGAAAAATATTAGAGTTAACGTTTCAGGTCCTTTCTCAGAACAGTTCTTCACAGATGCTGCCAGACCTACTGCGTTTTTCCAGCAAATTCTGTTTTTGTTCCTGATTTACAGCATTCACAGTTCTTTCAGTTTTTACTCACCGATTCTAAGATTTGGCAATAAAATTCTCCTTGTGAGCTTTACAGCAAACTAAAAATAGTAATAAAAGAAAGCTAAAAGCTGGAACCAACTCAAAGCTGGACATTAAGAGTTTAGGATGTACTTATCACATGTGCCAATGTATTTGAGAACTCACATATGCATATAGTCCCCAATTTACAACTAATATCTAGAACTCACCTATCAATAATTCCACTGAGATCAGTCATCAATGCGTATTGACTGTCAGCACATTACACCAATATAGGGTGGTAGACTGGGAACTTTAAAGGCCAGGACTCAGAAGAGGGAGCTTGGAGTCTGTAGGCCTGGAGATGAGGAACATGGGAGACAGGATGTTTGGGGGAAAGAAACAAGGTGGGTGGGGGGTATGCAGTGTCAAGTTAATAGAGATTTGGAAAGTTAAAGAAATTGGATATGGTAGAAATAATTAAAGAAAATAATGTACAGTTAGGACACAGGGAATATTAACTATAGTGTTAACACAGTGTGGAGCTGGAGGAACACAGCAGGCCAGGCAGCATCAGAGGAGCATGAAAACTGACGTTTTGGGTTGGAACCCTTCTTCAGAAATGCCCATTTCTGAAGAAGGTTCCTGACCCGAAGTGTCAACTTTCCTGCTCCTCTGATGCTGCCTGGCCTGCTGTGTTCCTCCAGCTCCACACTGTTATCTCTGACTCCAGCATCGGCAGTTCTTATTATCTCTGAGTGAGTATTAACCATAATGTGACAGGAAGGGACACAGCAAACAGACATAACAGTGTAGCAGCAAATAAAGCCAGAGTTGACAGAAAAAGTAAAAAGACAGGGTTAAAAGCACTTGTAAGAAGATGGATGGATTTTCTTTTCTTTCAGCATATCTCCAGATACAATTTTCCCACTTTGGGCAATAGTGAGGTGGTGGTGGAAGGATTTCTAAATGGATGGTCAGTCTAATGAACCACATCTTGGTCGTTCCCTCTGTGACTTACAAGCCTTGACATGGAGCTTGAAGCGGGATCTTTAAGACCAGAGTTAAGAATGGTAGTACTGTGTCACAAAATCTCCTGATGGATGAATTGATAGCATGAATGAAAATAATGATCCATAATATGAAAAGCATTTCTGAGATGTGGTTGCAGGGTGGCCAAGGCTGGGACCTGAATAGTTAAAAAGTATTTGACATTATAGAAGGGCAGGAGGATAGGAAAATGAGATGGGATAGCTCTGTTAATAAAGAATAAGTTTGGTACAATAGTGAAAAATAATCTTTGTTCAGAAGATCAAAATATAGAATCAGCCTGGGTGGAAATAAGAAATAGCAAAAGGAAGAAGTCACAGCCTGCAATAAAACTATCCAATTGGGCATAGCATATATCAAGAAATAATGGGGGCTGCAGGATAATCAAAGGAGACTATGATGTTGACAGTAATTGGAAAAATCAGTTTGGCAGAGGTAGCTTGTTGAATATATTTGGGACATCTTCTCAAAACAATACTTTCTGGAATCTACCAGAAACCAGGCTGTTTTGAATCTGGTAATGTGGAATGAGACTGGACTAAGTAAATAACTCATGATAAAGGATTTTTCAGGCAAGAATGATTGTAACATGATTGTAGTGATTGGAACCAGGTGGACCTCATTAACTATGAGGTACTTGATTGGGGTTGTTAACCTGGGCCAATCAGGGATGCCTTGGCTGACCAATATAACCTGGAGATTAGAATTGGCAGGGGCATGGGTGATGTAGTGAAGTGAAGAGAAGATGATTTGGTAACAGGACCTGGCCTTTGTGCCACCACTTTAGTATATGGGTCCTCGACTGAACTTTTGTGTGTGGATTGTGCCTTTGTGAATAGGCCATGCCCCAACATGTGTTGGGACCATGCTTTTGTGCATGGACTGTATTCTCATGTTTGGACTATGCTTTTGTGCATGTCTCATGTTCTTGTGTATCCCCACCATGTAGGAGACTGACTGATAGCTCTGGGGATTGTGTGTTTGTCTGAGATGTTTTCTAGGATGTTCTCTATTAATGTGATTTGTTTCTGATGCTATGTGTTTGTTGTCTGAGATTCTGTACTATTGTTTGAACTGCACTGTTTCTATGCTGTATTTTATGTCAATGTCTCTGCTCTTTGGTGAATTGCCTGATGTACAGTGACCTTGCCATGTGTCATGTTTGGGACAGTTATGTGGACTGTAATGTAATGTTTGGAATGATTTTCTGTAGGATGGCCTTTGTCAACAAAAACAAAGATGTTAACTTGTTTTTGATGTTATGTGTTGTATCTGTGACACTGTAATTTATGAATTTTGAATAGAGTATAACCAGGAGATTAGAATTTCCTCAGTTGAGGACTGACATCAAGCTGGCTGGGCACAGTGAGTAGTACGGTGCTCTAGTAAATAAAGGGTGACTTGGTGATGGGACACTGGCCTCTGTTCAGTTATTTCAATGATGGAATTCCACACTCTGTTTGAGTGAAAAATGTGGGTTTACAATTAGCATCCTCAATTTAACCTTAAAGGTAAATGCAATGTTATGAGGAGAGTGTTTGGTACAGTGAGCTGGTTAAATATTAATAGGGAAGAAAGTAAAGAAGTAGCAGATATAGTTCAGAAAATTTTTTGTTTTACTCATCAAAGATGAAAGAAACATACACCATTCACAGCCAACTAAGGAACATAAGTGTCATGATAAATTGAAAAGGAAAAGTATTCAATGCTGCAAAGATTAGTGGTAGGGCAGAAGATTGGGAAAATTTTAGAAATCAGCAAATAATGATTTAAAATAATAAAGGGGATGAATTGGAGTAGGAGGGTAAACTAGCAAGAAACAAGTGAATTTTTAAAAAATGGCAGTAAAAGATTTGATAAGTATACAAAAAGGAAAGAAGTAGGTAGAGTAAGCATTTCAATAGGAAGAATGAAGAAGGGATGTACCACTTAGAAGCCAAAATTCTAAAAAGGGTAGAGAAGCAAAGGAATTTACAGGTATAGTTACACAAATCAGTAGAATTCACAATGTAGGTTAAAAAGTCATGAAACTGTCAGGAACTCTAAATTATATAATTTAGGAGGATACTCTTTGCTCAGTGTGTGGAACCTACTACCACATAGGCTGGGATTCATTGCCATTAAAATTTACTAATGTAGGACCTTAGTTAGATCACATTTAGAATACCGTGCATAGCTCTGGCCTCTTTCTCTAATACAAAAATGCGCCGGAAAGTGTGCAACAAGATTTACGAGAGTGACACCAGAGCAAAGATAACAACTGTCAAGTCTCTACTGACTGCACAATTCAATAAGGTTGTCAAATGTGTTGTTTCGAAAATTATCAGAACAATTTGATTTGTACTACAAATCGATCATTATAATGATTTTTGTGAGGAAACGGTCATTGAATTAGAAGTGTGTTTGGAATGACTGAACAGGTTGCAGCACTCTTCTCTGAAAAAGAGAAGGCTGTGGGAGAAATACCTAAGATTGTCGGCCTAACCTGATTGAAATTTTTGAAGAGGTAACAGTGGCCTGATGAGGATAAAATATTCAATGCCGTCTACATCGTTTTAGAACATTTTGTTGAGAAGGTCTTGTATTGCAGACCAGTCAAAAACTATTCAGTAAAAGCCCATGAGACACAAGGAAAAGAAACCAGTTGGATCTAAAACTTGCTCTGTGGTTAAAAGCCAAGGACTGATGGTTGACTGGCAATTTTGGAAGCAAAAGGTTGTTTCCAGCTGAGTTCTGAAGGATCCAGTACTAGTTCCATTGTTTTTCATGGTACATGTCTATGATTTAGGTTTTCTTTAGAAAACATAGCTGAGATATTTGCAGATGATAAAAAAAATTTGTTGTGTGGTTAATGAAGAAGCAAGCTGTAAACTGCAAGAAGCTAACAATGGACTGGTCAGCTGGACCAAAAATTCTCAAATGCTGCAAATTTCCGCAATTTGATGATTTTAATGGAAGGCCATAAAATTATGAATAGATCGGATAGGATAAACCTGGTTCCACTAGTGGAGAAATCCAAAAGCAAGGTACAAAACTATGAATAGTCTCTATAAAAAATCAAGTTCATAGAATCCCTATAGTGTGGAAACAGGCCATTCGGTCCAACAAGTCCACACCAACTCTCTGAAGAGCTAGCCATCCAGACTCACCTCCCTACACTATCCCTGTAACCCTGCATACCCTATGGGTAGTCCACCTAATTTACATATCTCTGGCCACTGGGGCCAATTTTAGCATAGCCAATCCACCTAACCTGCACATCTTTGGACTGTGGGAGGAAACCTGCACAGAAACAGGGAGAATGTGCAAACTCCACACAGACATTTGCCCAAGGCTGGAATGAACCCTGGGTCCCTGGCGCTGTGAGTCAGCAGTGCTAACCAGTGAGCCACCCCATAATTCAGAAGGATAGCCTTTGCTCAGAGTAAGTGGAACCCGTTATCACATAGACCTGTTGAGGGGATAGATGCACTTAAAGGGAAGTAAGATAAATAATAAAAAGAAGTAAGGAATCAAAGAATAGGTTGATACATTGAGATGGAGTCAGGAGCAAGAAACAGACTTTTGAATCAGAAACAAAATTGGTAACAACGGTTAACAGAAACTTACAGAACTGAAATGGAAAAGTTTAAAATCAAATCAAAATAACATTGTCCAGAGTGATAATGCATCCCAGCACCTCTAAATACCTCTATTGAGGTGGTGAATACCACATGTTTCACAGACACCCGAATGCAACATAACCATGAAAGAGGAGCGGACAATTAATCACAGCGACATCTTCCATGGCCTGCTGCCTGGATCTGTTAGTGACAACTTTGGTCAGGCCCACAAGTAAGCTATCCAACTTCCCACCCCTACCCTACCAGCCCTTCCTTTCCCACCGCCCACATGAACTGGCCATAGTTTGAGTCTGGAGCTGAAGGGCAACCAAAAATCTAAAAGCAGCTACTTCCAAAAAAAAACTCAACAGGGGTTGATGGCCAAGTGGTGTCATCACTAGAGTATTAACCCAGGGATCCTGGTAGTGTTCTAGGGGCCTGGGTTTGAGGCTTCCCATGGCAAATGGTGGAATTTGAATTCAATAAATATCTGGAATTAAGAATCTAATGATGACCGTAAAACCATTGTTCACTACCAGGAAAAAACCCATCTGATTCAGTAATGTTCTTTAGGGAAGAATGCTGCCATCTTTACCTGTTCTGGTCTACTTGTAACTCCAGACCCACAGCAATATGGTTGAAATTTAACTGTAACTTAACAATAAAGGATGGGTAATAAACGTTGGCCTAGCCAGTGACACTCCCATTCTGTGAATGAGTAAAAATAAACTCAAATATGAAAAACTGTTTCATCCAAGCCACAAAAATTACAAGTGGCACCCTATGAAGTGACTTAATCCTAACTGCATGGGACTGCTGCATGCAACACTCTCCAGCCCAGATCCTCGATTGAAAAGGGAAGGACCTCCTTTTAGAAAGCCCTGCACTAGGGTTGAAGAATCATTTTGACTGACAGTGATAGAGGTTAATCAACGAGTGAGTCTTAACAAGGTCAGGCATTTGTCTTACCTAACGAGAGGAGGTTTACTACTTGATAGCAATTGCTACAAGTTGCAATGGCTAAGTAGGCATAATTACTGAAGCTATCAGGAAACAAAAATGACACATCTGACCCCATCAGGAACTAGAGCTGGGCTCCTGATTCTCCACCCAGAACTGTGTAACTCCATTAGTCTAATGCAGTCTCTAACATTAACACTTTCAGAACCATTACCTTATACAAAATAAAGCATTCACAAAGTGACAGTAACTATGGGATAGAAGTCATCATCTTTTGAATAAATAGAACATTGCCTGCTGTTGAGATTCTGATTGCACTGATCTCTGAGACTGACTGTTGGGGAGCCAAATTCCCATTATAGCAACAATTTATACTTATAGAACATAGAACAGTACAGCGCAGTACAGGCCCATCGGCCCACAATGTTGTGCTGAACTTTTACCCTAAACCTAAGGTCTATCTAACCTCCAACCCTACCTTATACTATCATCCATATGCCTATCTAATAGCTGCTTAAATGCCCTTAATGAGGCTGATTCCACTACCGTCTCTGGCAACGCATTCCATGCCCCTACCACTTTCTGAGTAAAGAACCTACCTCTGATGTCTCCCCTATATTTACCTCCACTCACTTTAAAACTATACCCCCTCGTAATAGCTACCTCCACCCTAGGAAAAAGTCTCTGGCTGTCTACTCTATTTATACCTCTGATCATTTTGTACACCTCTATCAAGTCACCTCTCATCCTTCGTTGTTCTAAAGAGAAAAGCCCGAGCTCTCTCAACCTTTCCTCGTAAGACCTTCCCTCCATTCCAGGCAACATCCTGGTAAACCTCTTCTGCACCTTTTCTAACGCTTCCACATCGTTCCTGTAATGAGGCGACCAGAACTTGACACAATACTCCAGATGTGGCCAAACCAGGGTTTTGTATAGCTGGAACATAACTTCACGGCTCTTGAACTCAATCCCTCTATTAATGAAAGCTAACACACCATACGCCTTCTTAACAACTCTATACCCCTGGGTGGCAGCTTTCAGGGAACTGTGGACATGAACCCCAAGATCCCTCTGCTCCTCCACACTGTCAAGAATCTTTCCATTAACCCTGTATTCTGCTTTCAAGTTTGTCCTTCCAAAATGAATCACCTCACACTTTTCAGGGTTAAACTCCACCTGCCATTTCTCAGCCCAGCTCTGCATCCTGTCAATGTCCCTTTGTAACCTAGAACAGCCCTCGGCACTATCCACAACGTGACTCACCTTCGTATCGTCTGCGAACTTACTAATCCACCCTTCCACTCCTTCATCCAAATCATTTACAAAAATCACAAATAGAAGAGGACCCAGAACACATCCTTGTGGTACACCACTTATATAACATCATTAATTTAGAAAAAAATTCCAATGCACTTGGCAGGTATGTTATTATATGTTTTAATAGTGAACCACTTGACAAGTGACTGAGTGAAAGAAGTAGATTTTAAGAGATACTCTGAACCCTTGCCTAGCCTCTTGGCAAGGTTGTGGCACAGTGTAATGTCACTGGACTAATAATCCAGAAACCCTAAGCTAATGTTCTAAGAACATGGGTTTGAATCCCACCATGGCAGATGGTAAAATTTGAATTCAATAAAAAATCTGGAATAAAAAAGCTAATTGAAAAGCAACCATGAAAATATAGTTGATTGTTATAAAAACTGACCTGGTTCACTGATGTCTTGTACACAGGGAAATCAGCATTTCGTATCTATAGACACAAAGCTTTAAACACGTTGCAATGTGGCTGACTCTCTACTGCCCTCTGGGCAATTAGGGATGGATAATAAACGCTGGCTTAGCCAGCAATACTCACATCTATGTACAAATGAAAATAAAGTATAGAAGATCAGAAAGAGAGGCAGTGAGTTAGGAAAGAACTATAGAATGTGGAGCCCAGGCAGTTTAAGGCAGATGTACAAAAGACCATGATTGGTGTAGAATGAGTATTTCTGAATTTTGTAGTTCTTGGAAAGGTTGCAGAGATAGGGAGGACAAAGCCATCAAGGAGTTTGAACAAAAGGATGAGAGTTTTAAATTTGAGGCATTGTTAGGCTAGGATCTAATGCAGATCAGACAGCATTGGAATAATGGGTTAACAGGACTTGGTATGAGTTAAGATGCAAGCAATAATTTTGGATCACCTCAAGTCCAAGTTGTGAGATGGAAGACCAGCCAGTGTTGCTGAGATGTTTGAGTCTAGAGGTAACAAAAGTATGGACCGGTAGAGCTGAGCCAAGGCAATTCGATTTAACACATTTTTACAACTAAAACTCATCACCCAATTTGGTATCATTAACCTCAAGCCTTTTACACCAAGCAGCCTCACCCATCACTAATTAGAAATGGAAACAAACACTAATAGTAGCCAGAATTAAGAGTGTAAGTATTCTGATGGTAAAACTAAAATGACTCTAAACTTCACACAAATTTTCTTCACCTCACTTCGGACGAATCAGCAGGCTGATTATGAACATCTTATAAGCTCCATCTGTGTCCAACAAGCAGAGGTGGAGTGGGACTTCAACCTAGAACCTGCTGGTTCAGAGGCCAGGGTGCTACCATTTGAGCCACAGAAGTCCTCATTTTGCAATTTGATACTGAGCAATGGTTTATGGGCAGAAATTCCAGAGAGGCCCAGATATGGAATGTCTGCATTTTCTGGTCGCTTGAGCTTTTGGACCAGCTGCCTGTTGTATTAAATGGCCTGCCTCAGGCTGCTTTGAGATCCTCTCCCCTTCTTCTGGTGAACCTGGATCACATACCTGGTCTTTTATTATTGCAATCTCCGCAATCAACACGACTATGAGATTTCCTAAGCCAATTGTAAGAAGCCAAATAGCCATCACAACAGACCTCATCGAGGAAGGAGCCTGCAAAATAAATCGAGAAATAATCTGTTACCAGTGAGAATGATCCCTTCCTACAAAGCACTAAGAGGAAGAAAGGAATCAAAGAATAGGCTGATACAGTGAAATGGAGCAGGGAGCAAGGAAGGCTCGTGTAGAGAATAAACTTTGGCACAGATGGATTGGATTGAATGGACTGTTATGGGGATGTAAATTCTACGTCATTCTGTGTACATCCCCTGTTAAAGTAAACCATAGGTATAGGTGCTTGGGAAGATGGGAGGAGTGTGGGGCACCAGTGACAATATGAGCATTTCTCAAATCCTGTCTATAAAGAGCAAATTTTTTAGTGTTCAACTTCAGTTTTATTCAGAGAACAACTGGGGATCTCAGTCACACAGTGTTACAGCTCTGCAAAACCAACTGTGAGCAGATGTGTTTGCAGTGGTGTGCTGCCACCAATCACAGTGTGAAAGCAGGCCATTTGGCCCATTGAGTCCACACTGACCTTCCAAAAAGCATCCCACACCACTGTAATCCTGAATTCCCAATGGCTAATCCACAAAGCCTGCACATCACTGAAAACTGAGGGGCAATTTAGCATGGCCAATTCACCTGACCTGCACATCTTTGGACTGTAGGAAGAAACTGGAGCACCCATAGGAAACCCCCACAGACACAGGGAGAATGTGCAAACTCCACAGTTGCCGAGTCCCTGGCACTGTAAGGCAACAGTGCTAACCACTGAGCTACCCTGCTACCCTGCTACCCTCCTCCTTTCTACTCTCTTATAAACAATGTCAAATCAGTTTAAACAGCCCCAAGTGGGACATGGTACCAGAAACAAAATCGGTAACAGTGATTAACAGAAACTTACAGAACTGGAATGAAAAGGGATAAAGTCAAATTAAAATAACATTGCCTGATGTGATGATGCACTGTCCCCAAAGACCTCTATTGAGCTGGTGGACACTGCATGCTCCATGGAACTCCAACTGCAGATGTGACCACAAAAGAGGGGCAGATAGTCAGGCACAATGACATCCTCCATGGTCTGCTGCCTTGACCTGTTAGCAACAACTTTGGCCAGGCCCATGAGGAGTCCCTCCAACTTGCCCACCCCCACCCATGCATAAAATGGCCATAGTTCAGGAGTGTGGGGTTGGAGTGCAACAAAAAAAATTTAAAAGTGAGCGCCCTCCACCGCGCCTCTTCCATTGTCTGCTCCACAGCTCTTAACCACCACCCACCCGCCAAACATAATAAAGATAGGCTCCCCCTTGTCCTCACTTTCCACCGCACCAACCTCCGCATCCAACATATCATCCTCAAACACTTCCACCAACTCTAATTAGACCCCACCACATGGAACATCTTCCACTCCCCACCCCTCTCTGCCTTCCGCAAGGACCATTCCCTTTGTCACTCCTTAGTTTGTGCCACATTCCCCACCAATCACTCCAACCCCCCTGTGACCGTAAAAGATGCAACATTTACCCACACACCACCTCCCTCACCTCCATCCAGGGCCATAAACAGTCCTTCCAAGTGAGGCAGAGCTTCACCTACATCTCCTCCAACCTAGTCTATTGTATCCGTTGCTCCCAATGTGGTCTTCTCTACGTCGATGAGACCAAACATAAACTAAGTGACCGTTTCGCAAAACATCTCCAAATGGCTTGTAATGGCCAACCTAACCACCCTGGTCACCACTCATTTCAACTCCCCACCCCACTCCCCTCCAACATGTCCGTTCTCGGACACCTCCAGTGTCGCAGTGACTTGGAACGCAAATTTGAAGAACAATGCCTTATCTTGCGCCTGAGGACCCTACAGCCTGGAGGACTCAACATTGAGTTCTCCAATTTCAAATAACCTTCCCACCCATCCCCTGGCTCCCTTTCCAGCCCCACCACTTCCCTTCCACCTACCAACTGGATTCATCCCTCCCTTTGACCAACCAGGTTGTACCTACCACAGTGTCCACCTATCACCACCATTCCACCTTCACCCCTCCCCCTGTCTTTATCTGCAGCTCTCCCAACCCCCACATCCAGTCCTGAAGAAGGGTAATACCCGAAACGTTGACTGCTCCTTTCCTCCAGATGCTACCTGGCTTGCTGTGTTCTTCCAGCCTCCTGTTTGTCTAAAAGTAAGAATCCCCTTTGTACAAAGCAACATGTTTATCTGGAGAGAGAATCAGAACTGGAGGACCAATTCAGCCCGGCTCCTCTATTCAATCAGATCAAAGCTAGTCTGTACATCAATTCCATTAATCCACCTTGGACTAATATCAGTTCATTCCCTCAACCAACAATAATCTCACTCTTCTAAATTTCATATTACACGCAGTATCCATGAGGTTTTGGGGACAGGTTTCCAAATTTCAACTACATTCAGTGTAAAAGATGCCTCCTGACTTTACTCCTAAACGACGTTCGTCTTGTTTAAAGATAATTGCTTTTTCCTTGATTCTCCCATCAGAAGGATGGCTCTCTTTCTGCCCATCAAATCCTTTAGTTTTAAACATGAGTTGGATTAGATCAAGGTGTGAATAAACCATTACTTTCTTAGACTGGCTCCACCTGATCCTCCCCATTTGCCCTCGTGCTTTTGCCCAGGAACTCATCTAACTCTCCTGGGAATCTCTTTAAGCAGTTCACTGTTAATACCTCACACTTAAGGCATATACAACTCTAAAAGCACCATCCTCTCAGTGGATATTACAATAAGACCTCACCCTCTGGATGTCTGCTACTCTAATACTCCACCCTCTGAGCATCTGTTAATATAACACCATGGTCTCGGAGTGTGATGGTCCACTTCAAGATTGTTAGACTCTTAATTGGTCTGCAAATTCTTCCACGATGCATTATCCTTGATTTTTAAAAATAGGGCTTATTTTTTCATATCACCATCACTGCAAAGAAAGCTATAGATATGGAAGAGGAGGCTGCTCAGGTGTGTTAGGCTAGTTCTAGTCTGAAATTTGCAAATTATTGAACAATTTCTGTTTATTTTATACTACTTCTCACATTTCCCTATGAGTGTTGCCTGTGGTAAATGGAAATTGCCAAATGTCTTGTCTCTCTAGTAAAAAAGGTCCATGATCACGAAAATATAACCAGAACGTAATACGGTGCTCCACTCACACAGAAACAAGCCAAGCTCAACATTACACATCCCCATAACACATTGTAGCAATGTCCCAAATATGGGAATATCCATGATTACTTGAATGAACCAGATTTGTCGTCATTCTGAGCTTGTTCATCACTTTTTACCTAACACAGACATTTCTACATATGCCGCAATGGAACTGCTCAAAGAAGCTTGGGAACGTCCCATTGACCTCCAAAATGGAGCTTCAATCAGCCTTGAGTCTCAGAAACCATCTGCCTATTTTAAAAGTCTTTTTACCTCAACTTCGTATGCAAACATACCTGATTGCAAATCTGACAAAGTCTAATTGATTGAGTCAACCAGGCTTCAGCTCAGACCTTCAACCAATCAGATCCAGTAAAGATAAGGACTGATCCTTTTCCAGTTCCAGCAACAAAAGCAGATTTTTCTTTTGAAATGCCAATAATCTGACACATAGCCAAGAAATCAAATTCACTATGCTGCTGAAAACATGGGTTATGAGAGCAAGGCAGGTAAATATAATTAACATATAGATCAGCCATGATCTAATTGAAAAGTGTTTGAATGACCTTCTCCGTTCCTACATCTGGGAAGAAACCCAAGGTTCCAAACCTTTCACAGCAATATACAAACTTTGAACAAAGTTAAAGTAGGGGAAGATACTCCCAAAGAGACGTTTACTGTTAATCTTGGCTCATGGTTTATTTATTTAATAAACCAGGATAATAGCTGTTCTACATCAATAAAGTCAACTCTAGCCATTACCTGAGTGTATGCCATGTGTAGTCCAGTCACTGCAAAAAGTATCTCAGACATTGAGATTACGAGGTACTGAGGAATCTGCCAAAGCACTGAGACAGTTTTTGGCCAGTTATCAATGTTCACCTGCATAGTGACCTGGCAAAAGAGATAAATCGTTACATCAAGAACATGAACATTTACCGAGAATAGATAAAAACTACCAGCACCAACAAACCTGTTCACCATCTATTCACTTCACTCCACATCTCTCAGTCAGTTTTCCCTCCAGAAATATATTCAAGTGTCTCCTGAGTTCCCATCAACATTAAGTAGCATCAATTTGCTAGGTACAGGGGGGACAAGCTTTCACTCATATATCATTGTAGGGTAATCATATTGTCATGGACTAATGGGCCAACATGGCCTGTTTCTGTGCTGTAAATTTCACCAAATTCTATGTAACTTTTTTGAACATTACCAGGAATACCAAAGCCATTATTTTCAGTGTTCATTACAGAAATTGCCCCTTACCAAGGACACCATCCTTGCCAACAATCCAGATTGCAGCAAACTGTCTCCTTCACTTTGCTTCAAGTTTTGAACCCTATTTTCATCACCTCACTCAGTGATCCATTCCTAACTATCATCATACCACTCAAAATACAATTTCTTTATTTCCTGTAGATAGCTGAAAGTCTTGACCTTCACTCAAACGCAGGAAAATAAATACATTTATATATTTTTGTGTTTGCACATGAGTTTTCATTTTGCATGTGGCCTGGGTGGGATGCTTTTTTGAAGAGTCGATGTGGACTCGATGGACTGAATGGCCTGCTTCCACTCTGTAGGGATTCTATGATTCTACGTCTCTAAACCACATGTATTCATCAACTGAATTCCTAGCCCAGAATCTTAACTACTTTTATTGGATCAGAGTCTCAGCTGGCAGTATTAAAACAAATAGGTTGGTTTGACACAGACTAATAACAAAGTTCAAGTAACCTGTTTTTATATTTGGAAAGTCCTTAACCAGTTGTAATTTCTTATGATTTATCAATTGTTCCCTCTGTAAAATTAGTTCCTGCCAATTGAGTTAATGATGATAATAATCATCGATGATAATAATAATAATGATGATGATAAGGGATTTTAATAAATAAGATTCTCAATTTCCAATTGCAAAAAGGAACATCTTTTGGCATAAAAAAACAACGGAAAGTAATTTGAATAAAACATTTAAGAAAATTGTATTGCCCCCATACGGGACTCACTGCAGCTGCAAGGGGCATTGGGGCATAAGAGTGAGGTGAGGAAGAAAAGCAGCAGTGATTCTGGAAAGTCACAGCTTGCTAATGTGGCAAGAAGCTGCATTGAGATTCTGCCTCAGCGGCAGGCCTTCGTATACCTTTGTATACTCAAACCGGTGGGTTCTACATCTCTGCATTTACCACTGCTGTACTGTTGAGTTCCTGGCACTGCATGAGATCTGCAAACAATTCAAAAATGTCCCTAAAGTGTCACAATAGGCATTAATTGAAATTTAAAGCAACTTAATTAGCTACGTGCCGAGATTGAAAGTGACCTGAAATATTGTGTACTAAGAATAATGTATCAATTGAGTGTATATATGTACATGTTCCACTTGTGATTATGATACCAAGTAGGGAAAGGTTAGGACTCATATATAAGAACTCATATATAAGAGGATGAGCTCTGGTTTACGTTGCATTGGGTATTGTATAATCCATATGGAAAACAGACCAGTCCCGCTCCTTACTTTCCCACCTTAATGTTTACAAAATTAACATTGCCCACCCAACTTGGGGCAGATGGAACAGGGGACTGTGGCTTTCTTAGTACTGGCCCCAGTCAAGCTGAAATTTATAAGCACCATATTTTGTGAGTGGGAACCTAATACCGAAGTGCTAGAGACAGCACAAGCTGTGAAAAGCAGGCCAATGCTCCAGTGCTAATGCTGTGTATTCCTGTCAAAGGAAATATGGATCATTCTAGTAGGGCTGTTGATACAGTCAGTCACTTGGGAAAGCAGAATTTGAACATCGCTGAAAACAAGGACTTGTGACCAAACCTTTTCATCTTTCACTCATCAAGGTAGAATGCCAGATTGGATGGAGGGGAACCAGTAGATGTACTGTAATGTAGTCAAATGGGATTACTTCAGTATGGGAAATCTGGTTAGCATGGACTAGTTGGACCAAAGGCTCTGCTTTTGTGCTGTATGACTATATGGCTATGCAAGAAGGCATTCAACAAAGTACCTTGTGGAAGGCTATGTCATAGGAGTCCATGATGTTGAACATAGTATAGTGTATGGATAGAGAAATGGCAAATAGGCAGGAAACAGTGAATGGGGATAAGGGGCTCTTTTTCAGGTTGGTGACCTGTAACCTGTTAATGGGGATCAGAGCTGGGAGCACAACTATTTTACAATATATATGAATGACTTGGAGGAAAGAAGTGAATGTGCTGTAGTCAAATTTTCAGATGACAGAAAAATATTAGGAAAGGCAGGTTGAGAGACAATGGTACAAACAGTCTACAGAGAGATATTGGTAAGTAAGTGGGCAAAAGGTTGGAAAATGGAGTATGATGTTGAAAAATGTAAAGTTGCTCATTTTGGAAGGGAGAACAAAAGAACAGAATATTATTTAATGGAGAAAAACTGCAGAAAGCTGCAACGCAAAGGGACTTGGGAGGTGGGGGGATTTATGCATGAAACACTGAAAGGTAGCCCACAGGAGCAGCAGGTATTCAGGAAGGCTAATGGAATGTTGGCCCTTTAATCAAGGGGTTTGGAGTGTAAGAGCTGGGAAGTCTTACTGCAACTGTACAAGATGCTGGTGTGACCACATGTGGAGTATTGTGAGCAGTTTTGGTCCCCTTATTTAAGGAGAGATAATATTTCATTGGAGGTGGTTCAGAGAATATTTCACTACCATTATCCTTGTTGTGGAACGTTTATCTTATGAGCAAAGGTTAAATAGTTTAGGACTCTTCTCATTGGAATTTAGAAGAATGAGAAGTGATCTGATTGAAACATATAGGATTATTTAAAAGGCTTGACTGCTGAGAGGATTTTTTTCCCCTCATAGAAAAGTCTGAACCAGAGGGTCTCAGAGAGAAGGGGTGTAAATTTAAGACTTAGATGAGATGGAATTTCTTTTCTCACAGGGTTTTGAATCTTTGGAACTTCTTTCCACAGAGATCTGTGTATATGTTCTTGTGTATGTGTAAGGCTGAGACAGATTTTTGATCAGTAGGGAATATGAGGAATGTTGAATCAACCATGATCCTACTGAATAGCAGAGCCAGCTCAAGGGCTCAAGCCTGCTCCTATTTCCTATGGTCTCATGATCTTACAAAAATGCCAAATATGTATTTTATAATTATTTAATAATGGAGGAAGCACACTGTTTGTCCTTCTCAAAGGAAATTGAGATGGCCAACAAATTTTGGCCCAGCCAGCGACACCCACTTCCTATGAATGAACTACAAAAAAGTTACTGCCAATCCTTCTGATTACTCCCACCCCTACACAATGCAAAGCTGCCACTGTACACCTGTGAAAATTCTGCCTAAGGTTAACTGCTTTCAGATCAGAGTCTGCTATGAGTGTTGGGTCTTTTAGACAGGATGAGTGTGCTGGTCAAGAGTAACAGATTCTATGTCAGTAAGCTACTGGACAGGACTCCAAGAAATCTATTGAATTCCTCATTGAAACCACAAATGCAGAGTGCTGCAGCAGCAGCAGCAAGGAAAGAAAGAACTTGCATTTGGATGACAACAGTCACAACCCCAGGATGTCCTCAAGCCTGTTGCAACCAATTAAGAGCAGGCCCCGTTCCAATGCAGGAAAGGCAAGGGTGCTGTTACTGGGACAAGGTTGACACTTGACGAACAGTCAAGCAGAATATATGGGTGCCAGGAAGGGATAATGAACTGACACAATGCCCTAGGCTTGCCCAGAGCACTGTTTACAATTTGGTCACTGTACTACATGCTGACACAGGATAGGCTACAGAGAAAGGCAAGGAGCATTACAGAAGTCAATAGCATTTAGACTTGACAAAGTGCTCAGAGAGATCTTACTGCATACTTCAGGATTCTAGGATAAATCAAACACAGACAGTACGCTTGGCACTATCATAAACTCAACACAGCAATGTGAATACTTAGATAGAATTGGAAACTTTAGCATGTTCCTTTTTGCTGCAAGCCACCAATGGTTGATGACACCCCAACACAGCTGGAGGCTTCTGCCTGAATCAATTTGGCATGCAGCTAGCCTTGACTTCCCTCTCTGTTCAGATGCTCTGTTTCCCTCACACATTATCCCTTTTATAGATAATGATGGAGGGAAGATGACATTCATAATAAACAGAAGATTGAGCAACAAGATGGCCACTTTGTATGGATATCCAGGCCGTACTACAATTCATGAGAAAGTGCTGAGTGAAACTGTCCCTCATGCTTCCCAATTTAATTTTAAAATTGAATCATTGAACTAATCTGTGCCAAACCTAATTGAAATGGATTAAACAGAAAACTGCTGTCCTTCTTTCCTTTTTGCTGTTTCACTAGAAATCATATTTATTCTTCTATCATCTGGGAGGTATTTTGGATTTAAATTTCTGGCCAGAGGATTTTTTTTTGTAAGTTGGAATGGTGCAGAGTTAACTAGTCCATAGAGGTTTGGCAAGGAATTGTATGAGGCTAATGGAATTATACCTGGCTTTCCACAAATAATGGAACATAATAAAGAGCAAGTGAATAATATATACTTCTTTTCAAGCAACAATGGCTTCATTGTTCCCTGCAACTAATTCCCCAGTAGCTTAGCCATTAGATAAGACAAACATAACAGTAAGTTCAGCATTATGCAGAGAACTCCTCTAGAAAGAGGATGTGTGTGGCTCTTGAGCAAGGACAGGATCCCTTGTGCAATATTCAGCGAGATCTCTTTGAAATGTGAGCTGGCCTTTATCAATCTGATAGTAAACAGCCTAAAACTCATTCCTATTTTGTAATGGAGTTGAAATGGAGGTGATGAAATTACCCAACTCTACTGAAAGATGAGTGACCCAGGGTCTATAGAACGCCCTAGTGTTATTTTAACTACCCTATGAACAAAGCTC